TCTCTCTCTCTCTCTCTCTCTCTCTCTCTCTCTCTCTCTCTCTCTCTCTCTCTCTCTCTCTCTCTCTTAGCCCCCTGACTTCTCTTCCTCCCATACTAAGGTCTCCGCAGTCGTTGATGTCGCGGATGAGACTGGATGGCAGTCACTGTGTATGAACTTAAGTCCTCCAGCTCAGACAACGTATGATCGCCAGAACACTTGGGCGATGGCTGCAAATCACCGCAGCAAGAAATGCTCCCAATGTTGCAAATAGAGCACTACTGCCAGCGTTCGACAGACCTGACTCACACGATTCCATCCAGTGCTCTGTAAGTCACATATACTTTGATATGAAAGAACCACGCCAGCGTTGATTCCATAGCAGCTCCAAAGACGATGCATAGACAAGCGATTCCCACCAAATTGCTGGGGCCAAAGGAAGTCCATCCGGGACATGTTTGACAGCTTAAATAACATGGAAACCTCACTACATCCAATAAGTGCATGTTGATCAACTTTTATCAAGTTTACTCGCAAAGCTGGAGCCCCCTTCCATTATCAAAACTGGGCTTCAGACATGGGTCTCTCTCTCTCTCTCTCTCTCTCTCTCTCTCTCTCTCTCTCTCTCTCTCTCTCTCTCTCTCTCTCTCTCTCTCTCTCTCTCTCTCCTCGTACCGTTCTTGTACTTTTTCAACTGACAGGCTTGGCAATCATTGCTGTGGCTGATGAGAACAGATGACAGCCACTGCGTATGAACTTCTATTGTCCTCGGTACTGTTGCCAAGCATATGAAAGATATTATTTTGAGAATACGACTGCAGATCACTGGAGCAAGAAATTCCTCCAACGTTGCAGATAAAACACTGCTGCTAGTTCAGCAGATCTGGTTGCAGGGCTCCACTCTGTCGTCTGTAAAACATATGTAAAGCACAGGTGTGCTGTCGATTCCAATAGCAGATGTGACGACCATGCATGGAGAAGCAATTCCCACCAAATCGCTGGGACCAAAGAAAAGTCCCATGTGGGCCTTGTTCAGCAGGTTGAATGATGCTGACCTTCACTGAACCCACTAAGGGGATGCTGATCACCTTTTATCGCAAAGCTGTTCTAAGTTCTAACCCCCCTTCAATTATCAACACTGGACTTCAGCGGGCGGAAATTTCCTTCCCCCCCCTTCGGTTGGCCCTGTGAATGGCAAAAGTCTCACAATGAGAGAGAGATTTTTAACATTGACCCCGACGCAATGCCCACATCAGTCAGTTGTACCTGTGGGCAAGCAACCTAATTGCGCGGTCGACTGTAGGCGATGTAGCCGATGATACACCCTTCTTTAGCAGCAGCCAAAGCATATGGTTTCTCTCACCAAGAAACGGATCCAAAGCCCTCGGATCACCTGGGGGCTGGCGGCAAATGCATCCCAGCCTAGAAAGTTGAGAGTAACAGTTGAAAGGTGCTTCCCAATGTTCCCATCGAAAAAAAATGTCTTGCCGCTACACCGTCAAATAGTGATCACTGATCGGGCGATTGAATTTCATTGCCGCATGGCTCCGCCCATCCCCATCATGGAAACAATCTCTGATCTGCTGTGCAAGGCATTTTCTGAAGAATTGTGAATTCATCGTCGCCCTATTTTTGCCTGACATGAGAAGGCCATTGCAGTCCTATCACATCGTTGTCACAAGTCATGATAGTTCTATCACGTGGTCATCACAGCTCAAAGGTGCTTTCTCTTACAAGTACTGTCACAGGCCACGATAACTGTCACAGTCGTCATAAAAGCAGATCATTATGATAATCCCCGTAGGCCAGAATGGTTGTCACAGCTCATGGCATTTTGTGTAACAAGTACTGCCACAGGGCACGATAACTGTTCCATTCATCGTAAAAGCGGATCATTATGATTATCCCTGTAGGCCACGACTGTCCATCACAGGCTGTCTAAAAACGATTGGAACTGCGCCCTTGTCGCACACTATGACAGCTGTTATAGATTGTCACCATGTTACTCAAAGAAATGCAGATACATTGTGGCAGAATCCGCACGCTTCTATGCACACACATTCCCGCGCCTCCTACGATCAGCCAATTCCAAGGCGCGTGAATGTGTGTGCAGAAACCGCATGGTTATATGCACACACGTTCACGCGCCTCCCAATTCGAAGGCGGTCTTGCACGACATTCCGAAAGCACACCGGTTTCTGAACAGCAGTCAAGCATCTCCCTCCATTCATGGTTGTGAAGCTCAACTCATCGTCAATGTCCTCTGTCCCTGTCAGTGTCCATCTGCTACATCACCATCACGCATTTCTCACGTGTTGCCAGCCAGCCCTGAATCACATCCTCCTCTTGCAACTCTTGATCTGCTTCCAAACTGCATCCTACAGCCAATCTAGTGTCGTCTGGTGACATCTGGTTCTAGCTCCATCATGCTCCAATGCGAAAGATCGAATCGTGACAGAAACATGTGGGGCCGAGGGAAGCAGAGACTATGTGCCACAACTAAGGGCAGAAAACAGACTCTGTGTCACACTTGAGTCAAACTCAACTAATAGACAGTCTTCACACCTCTGATCAGTACACATGCAAAGCATGCTCTTTCGCTGAAGATGAACTAGGTAGGTTGCATCCACTCCTACGCCATTTGCCACCACGCTAAAAACAAGCGAAACATAAATTTCAATAAAATTGAATAATGAATTTGAATTCAAGTTTGAAAACAAAGCTTCCAAGCTCTATCCTTTTTTCACCTTCATCCACCAAGGTTCGCAGCACCTAACCTGGCATAGAGTCTAGAGACTACCTACATTTGAGTTGAGCCCCCTCGAGAAGCTGCACAACCTTCAAACTACAAGACGATAAGGTCCTGAGTCCTGACAGTCAGAATCTCGAGCAGATCTTACTTTCTATTACATGACCTCCTCTTGCCCACTGTATGCGGACCCTATCCTCACAACATCTGCTTTTCCCAATCTCGCGAGTCAGAATGCCAAGCAGGCGATCTGTCTGATACATCACCCACCTGCAATACCACTGGCTATCCTACGATACTGCTTCCAGCCGCTGTCACGCTACATACTCATCATCTGGAAGTAAGCAAGTACTTGCAAGTGCGTGCAACCCCATGCAAGTACTTGCAAGTGCATGCAAGTACGTGCAAGTACGTGCAAGTACCTGCAAATGCATGCAAGTACGTGCAAGTACGTGCAAGTGCATGCAAACACGTGCAAGTACATGCAAGCACGTGCAAGTATCTGCAAATTCCTGCACGTACGTGCAAGTGAGTGCAAGTGAGTGGTATTAAATGCAAGTACGTGCAAGTAAATGCAAGTAAATGCAAGTGCGTGCCAGTGAATACACGTTCATGCAAGTACGAGCAAATACGTGCAAGTATGTGCAAGTGAGGGCAAGTTCATGCAAGTCCGTGCAAGTACCTGAATGTGCAAGTAAATCAACATGCAAGTGCGTGCAAGTAAATGCAAGTTATTCATGCAGATACGTGCAAGTACGTTCAAGCAAATGCAAGTAGATGTGTCTTGAATATTGGAATGATGGCTTCAGAAATCATGCCCCCCTTCCACGTGTCATCTCTCCCCACTCCCCGCAGAATGGAGGTGCCTAAATTAAATTGCTAATCAACAACATATGAGCAACCCCTGCCTCAACTCTCTTGACAAAAACCCTACCTTCTCTCCCCCTTCCTCATCTCATTCCTGCACCCGTCCTCCATACACCCGTCAATTTTGTAGCTCTTTCCGGAAAAAGAAAGCCAGGATAGTACATTTGCGACCACATGTTCTAGTTCCTCTTGCATACATCTTCTGGAGAGACTTCCAGAATAACATCGCCTGTTCCCATGGGCATGGACGTAAACCTCCCTTCTTGCAGTGATTCCCTGGCATCCCTCACTGGATTATCCTGTGCATCCTCCTGGTCTTCTTCCACGTCCTCACTGCAGCCCTCTTCCTCTTTCTCTCGCGGGAGCCTGAGTCCCCATGCAGAGTTAGTTTCCGGAGTCGTTGAGGTCGCCATTCGTGTCTTCACCGTCCAGCTGTCATGGCAGAGAGGGTCTTCCTCGTCCCTGTTCCCTTCCAGATGCCACCACTCTACGATCTGCGGCCTACTTGCTTCAACCAGCATCTTTGTGGCCACAGGATCAAGGTGGTGCATGATACCGCTATCCGGAATCAAGCTCTTGCAAAGAGCTGTTACCAAGCGTGCGTTGAATCGGTGGTGAAACAACGACAGAGGTAAATTGTTTGGATCGTACCGATACGGTTCCTCTATCTCACGCGCAACCTACAAGTTCCATTCGCCGTTTGATCAGAGTCCCCGCAGTCATCAATGATTCAGACAAAACAAAAACGAGCACATCGATGAGAGAGATCAGGGAGCTGCCAACCATGCAACAATTCAATGAGCGAATCCCACAGCAAACGAGCTGATAGGGGCAGACAGGAAACAAACTCTGACATTGCAACTGCAAATTAGACAGTGCGGCCATGCAAAAAGATGCCACGGGAACCCAACTTACCCAACCCATCTACGTGAATGGTCAGCCAAAGGACACCGCCGAGGCAGAGCTAAGAGCGCGATGGAAAAAGGAGAAGGAAACAGATCCCCCAAAACGAGCCAGCAGACCGAAGACTTTCAAGGAAGGATGGTGGCAGGACTGCAAGATAGCGATAACAATGGGGAAAACACCAAAGTCTCTCAACTGGAGCAGTGAGAGTCAACAGCAGGTCTAGCTCAATTGGTACAACTGTTGAACTACAGACCTGAGTTCAAATCCTGATACAAAGAGATGGAGCAGCGAGAGTCTGACAAGGACGGCTATCTGGATGGGGAACAATAAAGAGCACAAGCAGGTCAGGCCAGCAGTGGAACAGCCACACTCATGGATTAATGGCGTATTAATCCCAAACAAGATGGGGGCCATAAGAGTAAAGGTAAGAGAAAGCAAAGTAAGGGACCGCCCAGAGAAAGCAAGAGGAGGCAGCAAGAGACTGAGTAGACTCAAGACCAGAGGAGCACAGAAAGAGCAGCCACGGCAGGAGCAGACAACTCACAGCCACACCCTGACGTCAGCATCCAATTTAGCGAGAAGCATAGAGTCTGCAAGGGGGGATAAGATTACAGGCAAAAAAAGCAAGACAGAAGTGACAGCAGGAATGTGCGGGGTTCAAGCGAGAGAAACAAAAGCACCAAACACAAAAGCAGGAGAAAAGGGAGGAAATAAGGAACCGCCCAGAAAGCAAGAGGAGGAGGCACCAAGGGACGAAGCAGACTCAGAGACCAAAGGAGGAGCTCAGAAAGAGCAGCCACGACAGGAGCAGACAACTCACAGCCACAATGGTGATCCCACCGGCATCCAATTTTAGCACGAAGCATGAAGTCTGCAAACAAGCTGAGAAATTCTAGCTAGCTACAATAGTTCACTCGACAGGCCGAAGTGGCGGTCTGAGAGGGATTACACAGTTTGTTTTGTTTTCACACACACACACACACACCTGTCTCTTATACACATCTAGATGTGTA